AACATTATTGTTTTTTTTTTTATTTAGCTGATTATGTCTGTCTGAATAAATCATTTCTTTCGGGATCTTAATTTTTATAGATTTATTCACCACACTATGCGCGTGCGCCACTTTGTAAAGTTTTTGGGAGATTTTGACGACAGCTCAACCCAGCGGAAAGTTGATGAAGATAGTCACTCAAGTTCATAAAGCGCCTAAGCGATCAAAATAACTTGAGGTTTATATCAACATCGGAGCACTTGTTTCGTCGTTTTTTTTAATAGTTTACACTAAGAAGAAAGTATTTACTCAGCCATGGTACGAAGTATCTTGGAATACTGCAGCGTAGTATGGAATCCCCAATTCAATATTTACTCACATAGAATTGAAAGGATACAAAAGAGATTTCTTTTGCATTTATCTTACGATCATAACCTAGTTAAAACTCTTAGAACTTACGAAGATAAGCTAAATTACTTTAAGCTTCAGCCACTTTCGAATCGAAGACAGCTCCTTGACCTTATTTTCTTGTATAAGTTGGTGAATGGCGTCATTGATAGTTCTTACTTACTAGCCAAATTAAATTTTCGTACCGCATTGAAGTCAAAAAGACCGTCGTCTTATATACCATTCGTAGAAAAGAGCACACGTTCTCGTCAAGCGCGCTATTCTCCGATTAATAGACTGATGTTGAGTTTTAATGCTATATATAAATTATCACATAAGAATAGTATTGGTGCCATAATGACTAATGATAACAAAAATAAAGATAGAAAAGTTGATATTGACATATTTTCAGATAATTTTTGGAAATTTAAACGTGATTTATTACATTTATATTCCTCAAATAATTGTAATTCACAGTAAAATTATATTATTTTTCTTTAAGCTAAATTGTGATTAGGAAATGATTGTATATTATAATTTATTAATGATTTTATTTTTGTTATGTTTAACGTTCATAAAATTTCTAATGTTAATAACAATAGTGGAATATGCATGATTTAATTTAATTAATTATATAACACTAAATTCTGATATATTTATTGATCTCTTAATTTTTGTATTCAATTTAATTCACTGCATATGTTTTACTTGTGTCTATTTTTTTGTAATGAAATGTGTGTAACACCTATAATTAAGTCTACGCTTAGTTTTTATGATTTTTTGCAAAAATATTATGCTTTTGTTAGTGTATGTCTTGTTGGTGTTAAATAAATAAATAAATAAATAAATAAATAAATACACGCGCAGACAATTCACAAAATCACTTCAAACCATTATTTAAGCGACGACCAAGTTTCAGCCAAAACTCAACACGTTATTGGTCATCTGTCACACAAATCAGCAATTGGTACCAAGGAGTATATAATATAATATATAGGTAACGCTTAGACAAATCTAAAGGAATTTTAAAAGTTGCCGAGAAATAATGATTGCCAGATTAACTGAAAGAGTTGCGAATATTGTGCGATTTTAGATACTCCTTTTTCAAAATTCTGTGTAGTGCATATAAAAGCATAATTTTTTTTATTTAGTATATTGTATATTAAATATCTTTGTAATATGTAGTTGAAAGCGTAGTACAACTTGCTCGATAGAAAAAAACTTTAAAATGAATGAATTACGGTCGAATTTCGAACAACAGGCCAGCAATCTCAGCTCACCAGATGTCGCTAGTTGGTACTGAGGTAAAGTTTTTTGTTACGCTATGTCATTTCATTGAGAAGTTAGTTTTAATTTAAAGTTTATCTTTATTCGTTAATTTTTTTCGCATTTTAAACTTTTTAAATCCTCTACTTTTAGACATATCCGTAGTTTGGCTTATTCATTTCTAATCTAGTTACTTAATATGAATTATAACTAATATTTCAGAAAGAAACATTAATTTCAACGCTTTTTAACAAATAAACTTCTTTCGCCATGAAATCTGTCAAATCATGGAGTATAAAAGTAACGAGAACCAACTCTATACAGAAAAAGTGTCAGTAGCAAAGAGCTAAATAAGCGTGGCGCCACTGTAGCTCGAGGGTAAATTTTAAAGAACTTTTTATAATTTTTAATTGCACAGACTCACCATAATTTTTTTATAATAATTATTTTATTGTTTTCTAAATTTTTGTTTTCAAACTCACTCTCAACGTGTTTCACGGCGACTTTTTCTAGGTTATATTTACTAAATTATTTTAGACCACATGACTAGTTGAGTTTTTAAATACTGCAGTTTCATTAACTACTCTAGTCACCACAAATATTAAATTCCTCAACTCAGCACACTTTATCCCGTCGGGAACTACTAAGTTCATTTCATACCATCTAGCTACTCCAGCGCTGTTGTGGAGAGTTTGATAGAGTTTTTGAACTGTTATTTTTATTGTTTACAGATGGATACTTTTCAGCTATTCTTCTATGTGAGATGATTCTCCTTACCTTTATACTCCATGTGTCAAATATTTCACCCATAGAGCAACCCGCCGCGCCGGTAGCCGCTTGAGGTGAAAACATAGAGCAACATAGCTCTATGATTTCACCTCAAGCGTAAGTGGCGGCACCCTGGTGGCCTAAAGAATCGTGTATGTTGTCATTAATTTTGTTCTATTTTATATGTACCAGATCTGTTCTATAAATATACGAAATTGATGTTGTAGACAATATGGAGGAGTTGACGTCACATTGTGCCAAGATAAAAGATTATTTATTTTGTAAGAAACTACACGAACTCACTCAACCATTTCTTTCTTGAGCTATATAAAGAACAGAACAATTTTGGCACGGCTGTTATAACTTAATATTTTATCTTTAGCTCCCACACAGGTTGAATGGCTTATCGGAAACTATTTGCAGTGTTTTGTACTTACAAAAGTATTCCCTATACTTGTTATACTGTTCAATATCACCTGAGACCAATTACAACTCAAGTTATTGGCAAATCAGCGTCCGTTTTAAATTAATAAGAGGCTGTGTGTAGCCATCTGTTATAAAGTTTGACCAATCAGCTTTTATTCATCATCAGCATTACAGCCCATACATAGCTCAGTACTGAACATAGGCCTCCCCATAGATTGGGGCACAGGGAGACACCTGCCTGCCTGTATAGGCTTGTCTCTCTCTCTGCACACCTACAGAGGGAGTAGTGTTCTTGTATTTATTAAAATGCTAAGTTGTATCATTATTTATATACGTCGTACGTATAGTCAAGCCGATCAGGAGGTGCTCGGTCGCCGACGATTCGAAACGCTCTGCGCTGGTTGTGATCAAATGTAAGGAGCTGGCACTTGGGAGCCCCGACCCAGAGATGGGAACAGTATTCCATGTGAGTCTGAACCTGCGCCTTGTAACGTTGCAGGCGGTGTGCCGGCATGAATTACCTACTGTCCCGCTCTGCTGAGCACGCCAAGCTTTTTAGAGACCAATTTGGCCTTTTCTTCCAAGTGACCACCAAACTGTAAGTCATTCGATATGTCGACGCCGAGGATTCCGATACTGGCTGAGGCGACAAGGGGAGTGCCCTGAAACTGAGGAGATACGACAAAGGGGTTCTTTCTAGCGGTAGCGCAAACTTGTGTCTTCTTGGGATTAAACTGGATTAGAATAAGCCGCCCCCAATCCGAGACTGTTCAACAAAGTCTCGACTTCAGACACAAGTTTGTCCCGGTACTCGGTAACGTTTTCCCGAGCAATATAGGCACGGCCGGTGTATAAAGCATCATCACTGCTGTCGTCCGCATAGCAATCAATGATTGTTATCGGTTTGCAACATATCATTGATGTGCAGAAGAAACAGCGTTGTCGAGCAACAGTGGTAATTGGCTAATAATCAGAGTTTTTATTTTTTATTACCACTGCAACACCGGGGGAATTGCAGATGCGCTGCCGGCGTTTTAAAAAGGAGTAGGCTCTTTTTATGTAGGTCCCTAAGTCGTATCGGTCTGGAAAAATCTCTGGTGGTATATCGAAAATCCGATATTTATAAAAATAACAACACTCCTAGTTTGAACTGACCCTGTGTGTGGTCCATAAAACTACTGGTCAGATTTTGATAAAATTTATATGGGACCACATGAGAAGCAGCAGCTTTAAAATAAAAGGAGAATCATCAAAATCGGTTCGCCTAGAAAGGCGAACTAAAAAGTATCGAGGTAACACACATAAATAAAACATACAGTCAAATTGAGGTACCTCTACCTTTTTTTAAAGTCGGTTAAATTGTTTACTCATGAGTTTCTTACCACTTCTTCTCACAAGTTCTCCCGTAATAGGGACTTGTTTAAAAAAGTGCATTGTAAAAGATAATTGAATAAGAATATTTGACTTTGCAATCAAACACTTAGCCATAACGAGCTGACATAACTGTACATACGCGGTCAAAGAAGGTACTTGTCTCAGGAGAACTAATAATTGTGGCTTTTTTTATAGAATAAGGGTGGCGCCATCCAGTTGTGATATATCCCCAATAAAACATATATAATAATATAATAATATATAAAAGTGGCGTAGGGAATTGACGACCCCATCGCCCGCTGACGTAACAGTTAAGTGACAAAACTGCTACGTCAACGCAGTCAGTCAGCGCCTTGCGAGAGGTGTGAGCGCCGTGCCTCGGCAGAATTCAGGGTGCAAAGGCCCGTTTGTGCTTATGGCCGTCCACGATACGGTGCCGGACCTGGGCGTCTCCCGTTAATGGACGCCCATATTATGGATGATGGAAAAAAAGATAGTGCTCAAAGGGCCGCTGCCTGGAGGTCGCCAGGGCGCGTCTGGAGCTGGCGCTGGACGCGACAGCATGCGGGCCGCCAGCCGAGCGCGGGGTGTTGCCAGACCACCTAGCAGCCCCCCGCATCCATCATCCCCACCAGAAGGCTTGGTGTCGGCTGGGTCTTCTCCGATTCGCTCAGCAAGCGGCACCCGCCGCTGGTGGAGCACGTCGCATGCGTTGGTCTAAATCAATGAATGAAAACGCACTGCGGGCGTATTTTAGGGCAAAAGGGGAAGAAACTGGATGTTTGGCGTATCGGGCTCGGATGCATCGCTTTTTTGCAGAGCTGGAGCCATCTCTATCCGTCACTGAGCAAAACCTGGCAGACCGAGTTAGGTACATCCTGCGCTCCAACATATTTGGTGACGCCGAACTCGAGCGACTACGACGTGAGGCTATTCCTTCATCGAATGGAAATGCTACAGCTGGGAATGCGGCGCCACTAGATGCGCAACAAACTGCCTATGTGGATGCTGCCGTCAACATTCCATTTGTGGCTAATTCAGACGATGATGGAATAGTCTTCCACGAACTAGAGAAAATGAGGAGCATATTGGAAGAGTCGATGCTGGAAACGCGTAGCATGCCTCTCGAGAATCGACCGCGACTTCCCCGCATACCCCTTAGCAAGCGAAATCGGGCTGTCGTGCGGACTCTTAACCCAATGCTGGTGACCTATTTGGAAGCCAGCCGGGACCTTTGAGAGACGGATTAAATTCTTTTTGGCGCCGCACTGGCAGTATACCGTATTATTGGCGCCAAACTTCCCGTGGCTGGACGTGCTACTCAAAAAAGTAGCGCCATCCCAGCATGGAGAAAAAGAATTGAGGACCGTATCGCAAAGGCAAGGGCCCTTATCGGCAGACTGACAAGCTACATGGTCGGGTAATAATAGACCGAGGATTATGCGCACCGTTAGGATGGCGTTTGCTGGGACAAATATCAGTTTGTTCCAACCGGATATCACGCAAAAACTAACGGAGCGCATAGATGACCTGAAGCAAAAAATCGCTGCTTGGGGGAAGCGGATTCGACGATTTAGCGAGAGGTCAAGGCGGTTCAACCAGAATCGTCTCTTCCAAAGTGATCAGAAGAGGCTCTATAAATCATTGGAGCGACCAGAGGTATGTGGAGCGGGCCCAGGACCAGGATCAGGCCGACACTGTCGCATTTTGGCGTGGCCTGTGGTCAGAGCCCGTAAACCACAGCGAGGGCCCTTGGATGGAAGTTGTGGCGAGCCAGAGTGCAAGTGTTACTACAACTGGAAAAGTCCGGGGCTCGACGGGCTGCATCATTACTGGCTGAAGGGGTTCGTAGTGTGTCACGCTGTGCTCGCCCGACAGTTTCAAGAGGCTCTCGATTAGTAGTCGCTCCCGAGCCTCTTCACTACTGGGATCACTCATTTGGTTCCTAAAGATCAGGATACCACAGACCCGAGCAAATACCGCCCCATTACGTGTCTACCCACCATATATAAGACACTGACATCCATTTTGAGCGCGAGAATCACTCGTCACCTGGAGCTAAATCAGGTGATGTCATGCGCTCAAAATGGATGCCGGGGCGGTGGTCGTGGAACCAAGGAACCACTCCTCATTGACGCGGTCATTGACAAAGTGGTGAAACGCAACCGTCGCAAGTTCTCCGCCGCCTGGATAGACTACAGAAAGGCATTCGACTCGGTGCCCCATACATGGCTAAAGAGAGTCCTCCAGCTGTACAAAATTGACTGTACAGTTGGAGACTTCCTCGAGCAGTGTATGGGGCAATGGAGTACGATCCTTTGCTATCTGGGCGAGCGGATGATGGCTGCGGAGAACCACATAAGGATAAGAAGGGGTATCTTCCAGGGCGATTGTCTGAGTCCAATCTGGTTTTGCCTCTCCCTGAACCCTCTCAGTACTTTACTGGAGGGCTCCGGGAGGGGATTTCAGCTTCGGAAAGGAGGTACAAAAGTGACCCACCTTTTCTATATGGATGACCTCAAGTTATTCGCCTCCAGTCGCTCCCATCTTATGGAATTGCTAAACATCACTTTATCACTGAATTTAGCAGTTCTATTGGAATGGAGCAGGGAACGGATAAGTGTGCGGTCCTCATGTTGAAAGGGGAAGAGTTGCTAACTCTGAGGGCATACACTTATCTATGCCAGTCAACTTAAGGACCCTTTCCGAGGCTGAAACATACCGATACCTGGATATGTCACAGAACATCGGTATCGATGAAGCTGGTATGAAAAAGTCTGTTTGCGACGTGTTCTATGCACGCTTGACCAAAGTGCTTAACAGCCTTTTGTCCGGTGTGAATAAGACATACGCATATAACGGTTGCCGTGTAGTGGCGGTTAAGAATATCCACTACCCCATATCTTCCCGTGGGTGTCGTAAAAGGCGACAGAGGGAAACAGGCAGGAGATGGGCAGCAGCATCTTCCTGATAATAGCAACTGTACGACAAAAAAAATGCGGTTGCCAACCCGCTGGCCAAGCGTGGCAACTATGGCAATATACCCCCCATGAACAATTACACAAATAGACGGCCTCCAGTCCCCGGCGGCCCCGCTATTCCTGGCTACGGTGGCGACCATGGTAACGGCGGGGCAGGGGTGGTGCTAAGAATCTCCGGTGGAGGTTCGGTTGCCACCTACGACGACTCGACCTGGCAACATTTAACGCACGCACACTGAGGACTGACGAGAAGATCCTGGAGCTGGAAGAAGAGATAGATAAGTTGCGCTGGAGTATTATAGGATTATCCGAGGTCCGAAGAGAGGGGGAGGACACGGTGATTCTCGAATCCGGCAACTTGTTCTATCACCGGGAGGGCGACCATCTGTCCCAAGGAGGTGTCGGATTTTTCGTCCACAAGTCTCTCGTCAACAACGTTGTAAAGATTGGGAGTGTGTCGACGAGGGTCGCGTACCTGATACTCAGAATCACCAAACGGTATTCGCTGAAGGTCATACAGGTTTACGCACCAACCTCGGCACATTCCGATGAGGAGGTGGAGGAAATGTATGAGGATATTTCCAAAGCCATGCATTCCTCCAAAACCCACTACACGGTGTTGATGGGAGACTTCAACGCAAAACTAGGCACAAGAGAAAACGGTGAGCTGAAGTTAGGGAAATTTGGAGTGGGCAACGGAACCGAAGGGGCCAGCAGCTGGCCGACTTTATGGAGAAAGAGGGACTCTTTATGATGAACTCTTTCTTCCAGAAGCGGCCCCACAGGAAGTGGACCTGGTCGAGCCCCGACGGTTCGACAAAAAATGAGATTTACTTCATTATGACGACCAGACGCCAACTGTTCAGTGATGTCTCAGTGATCGCAAGGGTGAAAACTGGCAGCGATCACCGAATGGTTAGAGGCACACTGAACCTAAACGTTAAGTTGGAGAGGTCTCGTCTAATGAAGTCAACGCTCCGTCCCCCCTCGTGCTCTAATTCAAAATCCCGAAAACTTTCAGCTCGAGTTACACAACCGCTTTCAGTGCCTACAAGATTGCAATGCAGTGGACGATGTGAATGACAAGCTCGTGGAAACTGTCCATGCGGTCGGAGCTAAGTTCTGCAAGACCCGCCGCAGAAGAACACAAAAACTCTCCGATCACACTCTTAATCTCATGGCTGTTAGACGGGAGATGAGGCTGCAATCGTTAACAGATTTGACAGCATACAGGCAACTGAACAGACAGATCTCCAAATGCATGCGGCGAGACTTACGCAACTTTAATACTGCTCGTATTAAAGAAGCGATCAAGTGGAACCAGGGCTCCAAAGTCTTTGCCAGAGATCTGTCTGCCCGTAAGAGCCAACTGTCAAGGCTGAAGACTGAGTTTGGCAGCATCGTTTCCGGGACACCTGAGATTTTGAGTGAGATTGAGAGGTTTTATGGGCAGCTGTACACATCATCGTTGGAGCCACACGCAAGTGTGAGTAACGATCCAAGAGCAAGTCTTATCCGACACTATTCCGATGATATCCCGGACGTCAGTCTAAGCGAGATTAGAATGGCTCTCCATCACCTTAAAAACGGCAGGGCCCCAGGCGAGGATGGAATTACAGCGGAGCTTCTGAAAGCGGGTGGAACACCGGTACTTGAAGTCTTCAGAAGCTCTTCAATTCCGTCCTCCATGGTGGCACTACTCCAGAGGCGTGGAGCAGAAGTGCGGTGGTCTTGTTCTTTAAGAAAGGCGACAACGCTCTCTTGAAGAACTACAGACCGATTTCCCTTCTGAGCCGCCTCTACGTGCTGTTTTCGAGAGTCATTACGAATCGTCTCGCACGCAGACTCGACGACTTCCAGCCTCCCGAACAAGCCGGTTTCCGAAAAGGCTTCAGTACCATAGACCACATACATACCCTGCGGCAGATTGTACAGAAGACTGAAGAGTACAATTTGCCACTTTGCCTGGCGTATGTGGACTATGAGAAAGCCTTTGATTCCGTCGGAATTTGGGCGGTGCTGCAGTCCCTTCAGCGGTGCCAAGTTGACTGTCGGTATATCGAAGTGCTGAAGTGTTTGTACAGTAGGGCTACGATGGCTATCCGAGTACAGAACCAGAGCTCGAAACCTATCCAACTGCAGAGAGGTGTAATACAGGGTGACGTTATATCTCCGAAACTCTTCACCGCTGATTTGGAAGACGTTTTTAAGCTACTGGACTGGAAAGGATACGGTATTAACATCAATGGCGAGTACATCACTCACCTTCGATTTGCCGACGATATAGTCCTTATGGCAGAATCGCTGGAGGACTTAAGCACTATGCTCAATGACCTCAATAGTGCCTCCCAACGGATAGGTCTTAAGATGAACATGGACAAAACAAAGATCATGTTTAATGTCCATGTCACACCTATGCCGGTAGTTGTTGGGAGCACTATGCTCGAAGTTGTTGACGAGTACGTTTACCTGGGACAAATAGTCCGACTAGGTAAGTCCAACTTCGACCGAGAGGTCAATCGACGGATTCAACTCGGCTGGGCAGCGTTCGGGAAATTACGACACATCTTCTCGTCAGGTATACCTCAATCTCTGAAAATTAAAGTGTACAACCAGTGCGTGTTGCCAGTGATGACTTACGGATCAGAGACGTGGTCCTTCACTGCTGGCCGTATGAGGACGCTCAAGGTCGCTCAGCGAGCTATGTAGAGGGTTATGCTCGGAGTTTCTCTGCGTGATAGACTCAGAAATGAGGATATCCGCAGTAAAACCAGAGTGACCGACATAGCCCAACGGATTAGTAAGCTGAAGTGGCAATGGGCCGGCCATATAGCTCGAAGAACCGATAACCGATGGGGAAGAAAGGTTCTCGAGTGGCAGCCTCGTACCGGTAGGCGTAGTGTAGGACGACCTCCCACTAGATGGAGTGACGACCTGGTAAGATATGCAGGAAGTCGATGGATGCAGGTGGCTCAGGACCGTGCTTTGTGGCATTACTTGGGGGAGGCCTATGTTCAGCAGTGGACTTGTGAAGGGCTGCGATGATGATGATGATGATGATATAAGGGTTGGGTCATGCCTGTCCTCATGTATACCTTTGGCATACTCAGATGGACCCAGACTGAACTTAACGCCCTGGATAGAAAAGTCCGCACTACCATGACGTCCCATAGGATACATCATCCGAGATCGTCGGTAATGAGGCTGTACTTGCCGCGAAAGCATGGTGGACGTGGTTTTCTGAGCGCGCTCACCAT